TTTTGTCCCCCCCCCCCCCCCCCCCCCACCTGCTGCCACCAGCAGTAAAGGCTTTGTGCCATATTTTTACTTGTGGGTTAACTTAACAAATGGTTATAAAGAGTAACTGTTTTGTAAATAGTTATTATGTGCCTACCTGCAGAATTTTAGAATGTCTGGCCCAAATCTAATGTTGTCCTATCACCACTTTGATGTCAACATCCATTGAAATTGCTTCAAAGAAACGTAATTTCAGTGTAATGACTGGGATTAGGTTAGTGAACATACATGCCTTTATAAGGAAAAAAGGAATAATAGAGTATCCACCCCTTCTACTTCGGTATATCTAGTAAAAGAAGAAAGAATAATAATGAAAAGGTTTCCTTTTCATTAGTGGTACCCTTGTTTATCCCAAGCGGAGAGAGAAGTTTCCCTTAAAGTACTGTACTTTGGTCCTCCTAGCAAAGGTTACTTTGAAGAGATTCACCCTAATTAATGTTGCCTGTTCACAAATCAATTTCCCCTTTAAAAGTATCTAATTTCCCCCTTTAAGTCAATGAGGACTATACCAAAATTAGCCAGTATCTATATATACTTTTTTCTTAAAAACATACACAACTTCAAAAGGCTGAGTTAACTCTTTCTTTTCGTTATGAAGAAAATAATGAATGCCAGCATTACAGCAGAAAAATACCTGTTAGAATGACCATTTCATACTAATGAATTTTAGAAAAGATAAAACAGCAACTAAAAATTAGGAACCACATTCACAATCTTGTAAATATCAGTTAAAAATGAATTGTTAGACCTATATGCAAAAATATACACATGCAAGGAAAAAATTTTAAGTGTTAAAAAAAAGGCATTTTATTAGTTTTTGAGGGTATTTTTTCCTTTAAGATTTCTTATGAGTGTTGCTTATAAGAATAATTTTGTTTTTTTTTTTTTTTGGTGGCTGGGCGGTAAGTGGGTCCAAACCCTTGACCTTGGTGTTATCAGCACCAAACTCCAACCAAGTGACCTAACCAGCCTGCCCTAAATATAATTTTTAAAAGTTATTTGTACACAACTTTACTTGAAGATTAATATATATTCCAGTGGAAAAAATGATCTACAGATAAGACTGAAAACCTACCTGTAATCACACCATTCAAAGACAATTATTGGCAAATATTAGAAAGATGTGTATTATAAACACATATATACACACATTCTATGCAAATGAGGTAATACTATGGTTTTAATGTAAACATTCTTCTGAATCATGAACACATAATGGCTGCACAGTATTTCACCTGTTGGCTGCATAGGAATCATGAACACATAATGGCTGCACAGTATTTCACCCAAAGAACTAAAAAGTAAATAAATAAAGCAATTGCTATAGATTCAGATTCTCTGGGGGGGATAGGCAAACCAACCTTTTGAATGTTATCTCAATTTTACAGATAAGGAAACTGAGGCTCAAGGAGGTTAAGAACTTGCCCAAACTCATCAGTTAATAAACAATAAAGTCAAGATTAGAACTAAGGTATGTAATTCCAAAACTCATTCCCTTTCCATTACAGTGTTGCCTCAACTTCCTCAAGTGGACCTGCCTATAATATTACAGTGGGTAAGGTCAGTATGGAATAAAATAATGAATTAGAAAATACCCTGAAAACTATAAAGCACTACTGCAGAAATGTAAGGGACTATTACAGTGTCCTCACCTAGAAAACAGGCAAAACACACTGTAATGCTCTGGCATTGAACTTTCACATTACATAATGCTGATTAAGGTTTATACTTCTATATTAAAGACAATATAGGGGATATTATCAAAATCCTTTGCAATCAGAACTTAATTTAAAAACATTTTAAACAGAAGGTCTTCAAATTGTTCTGAAACCTAAAAAGTATACAACATTTTAATTGGCATAAGACCATATAATTAGATTAACATTATAAAAAATTTTTTTTTAAATTTTGGAACATACCATAAAAAGAATGCTCTAAATTAAGAACCATTATTTGAAATGCATATTAGTTGAATTTCTTTTAAAACAGTGAACATTAGAATGCTATTTTTTTTCTTGAAACAGGCATATTAAAGGAAATCTAAATTATTTTTTAAATTAAACTTATGTCCAATGCACCCTGCCCCTAACTACCAAACCAAAATTTTAAAACAAAAGCAAGGTGTGACTTAAATGTATAAGCCAATTTATCTTATTCTGTGGAACCTGAGCCTAATCTGTTTGATTTTCAGATGGATATGATGTGGAGTAGAAGAATAACGGTGCTGGGATATAGGTTTCTGAAAGAATTGCAGGAAGAAGAAACAAACACTTAAGGAAATTCTTCAACACCCTGTAGGATACTCAAAGCCACAGTTAACCATTATGGCAAACAGTTTCAAATCACTTTGACTAAAATGGAGAATTAAAATTAGATCATTTAATTATGCTGAAATTCAAATACTATATAAATACCTGGACTTACCTTAAATTTTCATTA